TTGAGTCTCCTTGGTTTACCCCTTTGAGTATTCTGTATGATTCTGTTAGTCCGTATTCTGTTATTCCTTGTCCAGTGCGATTTTCTTCTATAAAGTTGATTATGTTTACGATAGCTGTTGGAATTTTGAGTCATTTTAGTGCTAGGCTCATCATTTTTGCATCGACCGAGTCGAAAGCCCTTCATATGTCTTGAAATAAAAGCCAAAGTTCTTTATTGTTTTCTTTTGCGTCTTCCAAGACATTATTAATAATATGTATTGGATATGACATTCTTCCTCCTGGGAGGCCAGTGTAGTTATTTCCAGTTAGTATTTTGTTTTCTACTAAAATATCTGATAATCTTATTGTAACTATTTTTGTAAAGATTTTTCTTACAGTTTCCATGAGTGTAATTGGTCGTGTGATTTCTAGGTTCCCTTTCCAATCTTTAGGCTTGGGTCATTAGGGACTATTCCGATTTCTATTATTTTATTATAAAGTAAGTAAAGTAATTTGATGCCATTCTCTTCTAAGTGTTTAAATACTCCGTAAGGTATTAATGATGGTCCTGGAGCTTTATTATTACTCATGAGTTTAATAACTCTGATGATTTCCTCCTCGTGTATTGTTGCTATTAGTGAATTATAGATAGTATCTTTGATATTATTTATAGGTTTGTATTGTTGTGCCCATCTTCGGTTTAATGTATTGTTGATAATTTCAGTACCTTCCGTCCATTGGTATAGGTGTTCTTGTACACAACTTTTAATTTGTTCAGGATTGGTAATTATTGTGACAGTATTATCTTTATGATTCTGTATGATCCTATCTAGAACAATTTGTCTCGATTCTCGATTTAAAACTCTGTCTATCATAGACTTTGGTTCAGTATTTAATATAGTTTGTCTTGCATCAATTTTCTGTTTGATTTCATGTTGTTTTTCTTTAACCAGATCTCATTTGATAATCTTTCTGGTAATAGTTCACCATTGTTTTATATTTTCTATCCATTTCTCTTGAACTAATTCATTATCATTTGAGGGATATGGATCTATATTCACATTGTGGGAAATAGTAAGTTTTGAAATGATTTTAGAAATTGAGCTAAGATATTGATTCGATTTATTTGAGTTTTTGTTATCCTTTAGCTTTTTTCCTACTTTATATAGTTTATTTGCTAGATTTAATATTGGGTAACTTGGATGTTTGCACCATATGACATTTGTACGGTTTTTTGATTCTTTAGCCTTGGGTAAATATTGGTTGCCTGCTGTAACCAATATTGATTTGAGTGATTGCCATATCGATTCTACTGTGTTATTATTATCCTCATGGGACAAGAGATATTGTTCGGATGTTTGCTCAACTTGTGTTGTAAATTGTTCCCAATTTTCTTTATTAGCCATCTTTAAATTCCATAATCTTGGTATCCGATAATTCATCTTTTTATATTTCATTAAGGTATCTTTGTCACAGTACTTCTGTACATTTATTTTTGTTATCACGCATGAGTGATCACTTTTAATTATTAAGGACGTATCTTCAATTTTTGCATTCATTATCATATGAATATTCTTTTTTATCTCCATTGATAAATCTGTATATATCAAGATATCTACTATATATGATTGATTGTAGGATGCCTCCCTCTGGTGAAGTTTGTTTTCGTTCTGGGAAGCGATCTTTTTTTGGGTTAGACACTGCATTCCAATCTCCTAATAATATTGAGATCCAATTATTTGATAATGCTTGAGA